GGACCCGAAACGTTAACTCTGTTTTCTCCTCCACAGATGCTGCCAGACCTGCTGAGCTTTTCCAGCAACTTTGTTTTTGTTCCTGATTTACAGCATCCGCACTTCTTTTGGTTTTTATTAAGTTAATTGAGTTGATATGCCTCAATGATTGTCAATCGTTAGTGACATTTATTCTCCTACAACTGGCTCCATATCCAGATTAATTATGTTGTTTCATTCATCCAGTACCATCAAGATGTAACAGTCTTATTTTAAAATAATTCACCTTTAATACTTTTCAGAATATGATTTCTTAATTGATTAATATTGGGATAGGTTAAGTAAAAATGGAGAGACATCCTATTTTAAAATTGAAGGAACCAAATTTAAATGGTTGATTTATATCACAGTTAGTACAATAACTATTAAAGAGACCAATTCAATAATAATAGGTCAATTATTTCACCAATGCTACAGAATTTTGTTTTCCCATGAAATACTCATGTGGACTGAGAATCAAAAGGAACAATCTACTACAGTAAAACTAATTTGCTTTCAATATGAAAATGTGAAAAAAACGAAAAATAATTAAAATGCATCAACTCTTATAGCACTGTTGGAGATGGGGAATTAACACACCTTATCATCCAGCTGCTTATACAGTTTTGAAATTTCTGAATCCATTTTTTGCTTCTCAGCATCTGAGAGTTTAACAGTAGGAGTTTCCTCTATTTTGTCATTAGTGAGAACAATCTCAAGTGCCTCCTTGTGTTTCTCTTTGTCATATTGTTCTTCTACAGGCACAGACTCACCTTTAGAAAAGAATACATTGAACAAAGATGTAAAACAAATAGGTTCTTCCCCTATTAGTACTTTTCTTGCAGATTCATGTTCTGAAAGATTATGAAATTTGGCTCATTTGAGGTGCTGAGGAGATATCTGGTTCTGTGCTTTTCTTCAAAAAATCACTGAAGTAATACTGCAGAAGTCTATATTTTTGGAAAAAGCCACATACTGAGTCAATCACAAAGCATGGAAACACACCCTTTGGTCCCACAAGTCTGCACTGACCATGTTCCCAAACCAAAATAAGTCCCACTTGCCTGCATTTGGCCAGTATCCCTTCAAACTTTTCCTATTCATGTATTTATCAAAATGTCTTTTAAAACATTGTAACTATACCTCTGCATTCACCATTTCATCTGGAAGTTCATTCCACATACAAACCACTGTTTAAAAAAATAAGTTGCCCCTCAGGTCTTTTTGAAAAATCTTTCTCCTCTCGCCTTAAAAACATGCCACCTAATTTTGAACTCCCGCACCCTAGCGAAAGATCTTTGCTGTTCGCTTTATCTATGCCCCTCGGATTTTAAAAACCTCTATAAAAAGGTTACCCCTCAGCCTCCTAGGCTCCAGTGAAAAACGTCCCAGCCTATCTTTATAACTCAAACCTTCCATTCCTGGCAACATCCTGGTAAATCTTTTCTGAACCCTCTCCAGCTTAATAACATGCTTCCTTTACCAGGGCAACCAGAACTGGACATAGTATTCCAGAAGAGGCCTCACCAATGTCCTGTACAACCTCAACGTGACATCCCAACTCCTATACTGGTAGTCAAATCTGGGTTCATGGCTGCCCGGAGCAACATTGTCTCCAAGCATGTAGCTTGTCGATTTTCTGATCACCGCATTGACTTCCAGTTCCCAAAGTTGTTGCCGAACACAGACTTCGCAGGCCCACACAGCTGATAAGAAAATTAGAGGAAAGGCTGAAAAGTTTTGGGATTCAGTTAGATTTAGCCTGTGAAGAAATAAGACCGCAAGCTCACCCTTTACTATCTTTCTGAGGAACCCTCTTAAAGATTCAGTGGGAGTACTGAAAAGCTGAATAAGGTATTCTCCCTGAAGGGCTTCTAGATTTCTTCTCAACATCCTATACAGATTACATCTGAAGAGACAGGGACAAACACACATGTCTAATGGTTTCCAATAGACTCTAGGTGACCCAATGTGTACAAGGTAGCCAGATGGAAAGAAATCTTAATTCTTGGAAAATAAAAAAAAGTTAACTATTTTGATCAAAAAAAGTGTCATTATTTCTATCGCATCTTACTCGCTGCATGACCACATGCAAGCTCCATACTTTGAATAGAACGTAGAACTGTACACAGGAATGAGCCCTTTGTATCACAATGTTGCGCCCAATATGACGACAAGTGAAACTAATCCCTTCAACCTACCATTGGCCCATACCCCTCCATTCCTTGCATATTCATGCACTTATCTAAAATGCCCCTATTGTATCTGCATCCATCACCACCCTTAGCAATATGTTCCGGACTCCTACCACTGAGTAGGAAACATGTCCCTCACGTCTCCTTTGAACCTTCCCTCTCTAACCTTAAATGCATGGTAGGCCAACATATGGCTTCTGCTTCTGGAAGCTACTGTACTCAGACCTTAAAGGCCCATGCAGTAGCAAAAAAATTTACAAGGAGCGTTGCATCCATAACCGCTGAACAGGTCTCACTCATCCTCACTGACACCCAATTCCCATTTCTGGCTCCAAGCACCACACCAAGGCATACCATAACAGTTGACTTATAAAATGTAGTGAGCAGAGAAGTAACAAACATGACACCACCTATGCTGTTCTCCTTGATAAACAGAATGACCAGGTCAGAAGGGTTCCAAACGGCTGAAACGATCACATCCTAGATCAAAAACATGCTGTACCATATGGTTGCTGGTATACCAGCTAATGAAATAGTTGGAAGCAGATGGGGCCTTTGGATTGCTGACCAAGTCTCATCTAGGAGACAAACTCCCAATCCAAACCAATGGCTTCACTGCCATCATCCTAGCTCGCTGGCCACAAGAGAAGAACTCCAGGCTTCAAGGATGGGATCAGCTGGCAGAAACTGTACTCCAACATAAACCACAAGTGCACAGGCAGAAAGGGAAAACTGTTCACTCCAACTGAAACAAGTTCATACTGCAGTGTTGGGAAAGATGCTTAAAAAAAGGCGGCAGGTGTAAGATGACACTGCACGCAGTGTCTAAGGATACTGCTTGTTCTCAATGACGGCCCACAGACAACAGCATCATCCAGAAGCACCGAGTGACCAAGCAGCCTTTTTGAAGGACAGCATTGCTTAATTCTGGACTGAGAGGGATCGAACCAAATGCTGGTATCACCAGCTTCAGAGTAAACGCCAACAGGAAATTGTAAACTCAATGCCATTTCAAAACATCGGGACGAAAGGAAAATTCTGAAACTGACCTGCCGGAACACAATATAGTATACAACTCTGAATGCAACAGTCACCCCCAATGATAATCAGTGGTGGCCTAGTGGCTCATGAACTAGCCATACTATATACTGATGCAATAATCATAAGCAAGGTCTACATCTCAGAGTAAGACAATGTCAGAACACAACATCGACTATACTCATCATTGGTCATTTAGACTTAAAGATGAACGCTGCATCCTCAGTGGTCGGCTTCACAACGAAGACTACTTCAGCCACTAAACTTTCAGTCTGCCATTATCTATTCACCATTTTATTTTTGAGACTAGCAGGCTACAAATCAAATCACTGTTTTTGCTCAAATCTTTAAGGCTGACAAAGAGGACATGAACTCATCCAAAATGCACCTCCTAAGGTCAAAACTGTCTTATCTGGCAATTTCCAGAGTTGGCATGGAACGGGGTATACAGAAACTGCAGAGTTAGAAACTTGGTATAAAAACAAAAGGGGAAACATCAGATTGATCCAACTACCAAGGGATCATCCCACTTTCTATTGCTGGGAAAACCTTGGCTACAGTTCTTCTGAACAAGCTGGTGCCAACCATCATTGCATGGAAGCACCCCCACGGCCCCCAACCCCACCTCTCCCCACCCGCAAACAAACAGTCAGCTCAGTTTCAGAACAAACAGATCCACTACCAGACATGGTATCTCTGTTCAGAGAAGTTCAAGAAAAGGTATTGTGAGCACATGAAAGCTCTATATATGTCATTTTCATAGTCTTCAAGGCATTTGAAACAGTGTGCAGAGATGAATTTTGGAAATTTGGATGCCCACTCAGGGTCCTGATCAAGGTGAAGCAGCTTCGTGAGAATCAGTACAGACAAATCAAAAACAACAGCAACTCTCAAGTCCCTTCCAAATCTCCAATGGCACGAAGTTAAATCATTTTTCAAGTCTTAATGCGTGGTACAGTTTTATTGATGAAAGCTTACATACCTTTACGCCATCTATTGAGTTCATTTTCAAGCCACTGTATAGTATTTCTTAAAGTTTTGTTTTTCTCTTTCTCTTTCTCATATTTCTTCTTCCATTGTTCTGCTGTTAACTCAACATTAACGGTTACAGTATTCTTAATAGTCTTGGCTCTATCAGAAACAGAAAAAGTGGTGAACAACCTACTCGTTTACTCGGTTTAAAAAAGGCACAGATCGTCCCTACCTTGAAAACCGAATTCTGTAGATATGAATATCTCCAAACAACAGTTTGTTGCTCTTACAATAATCTGGCCATCCACGCGCACTCTGCACTGCTTTAGCATGGCACACCAGAGTGAGTTCTACTTCGTCAACATTGTATGAGATCATTTTGTATATCCTCACACGAAGAAACATAGATCACAGAATCCCTACAATGTGGAAACAGGCCATTCGGCCCAACAAGTCCACACCGCCCCTCTGAAGAGCATCCCACCCAGACCCATTCCCCTACCCCTGATTTCCCCATGTCTAACCCACCGAACCTAAACGTCCCTGGACACTATGGGCAATTTAGCATGGCCAACCCACCAACCCTACGCATCTTTGGACTGTGGGAGCACCCGGAGGAAACCCACGCAGACACGGGAAGAATGTGCAAACTCCACACAGACAGTCGCCCAAGGTTGGAATGGAACCTGGGTCCCTGGTGCTGTGAGGCAGCAGTGCTAACCACTGAGCCACTGTGCCGACCTAAGGTCAAAAAAGAAAAAGCGCATCTCCTAAACTTTATCTTAGGAACCCAGAAAGGTTTAAATAAGTGAAAAAAAATAAGATTTTACATCACAAGGAAGTGCCATTGGCTAGCTCAATTCAAAATAACTGCACTGAGTTTACTATCTTATTCCATAGACTGGAATTTTATTATGCTTTTAATGTTTAGCTGAACTTTCCTTCAAACTATCTTCGACAACAGTGCAGCAAAATACTCCGTGCTTATCAAATGAGTATCATATCATAAACTGAACACTGGTTCCTGACACCTAAACCATATGGTCATTAGCTCAACTGCAAACTGCAACTTTGGCTAAAGAAAAGCAGACACTGGAATCTGAAATTTATGAAAAAGTGCTGGATATCCTTAGATCTGGCAGCATCCTCAGTGAGAAGCAGAATTAAAGTTCCAGATCAGTGGTGGAAGACCAACAACCGGAATTATGAACAGCTTCCTTCTGCACACATTCAACCCATCATGCTGAGTACTTCCAGATTTTTAAAATACACTTCACAGCTTGGATTACTATCTTTTTCCTTGCCAGGTACTTATGGCCTGTTCAGTAACATCCTTTAGCATGGAATCAGGGAGGTAACATACTATTCAGCACTTCCAGTCAAACTTCTAAAAACAGAAGCCCAGTTTAAGGAAAAAAGTCTTTCAGGGGATGACAGCTTTGCTAGCAAGGCCAGGATTTGTTACAGTCAGAGATATACAGCACGGAAACAGACCCTCCGGTCCAAATCGTCCATGCTGATCAGATTTCCTATTTAAATCTAGTCCAGTTTGCCAGCATTTGGCCCATATCCCTCCAAACTCTTCTTATTCATATACACATCCAGATGCCTTTTAAATGTTGTAGTTGTACCAAACTCCACAACTTCCTCTGGCAGCTCGTTCCATATCTATACTCCACCCTCTGTGGAAAGGTTGCTCCTTAGGTCCCTTTTAAATCTTTCCCCTCTCACCTTAAACCTACGCCCCTGAGATCATAGAATCCCTACAGTGTGGAAACAGGCCCTTCGACCCAACAAGTCCACACTGACCCATCCCCCTATAGCCAACCTAAGCTCCACATCCCTGAACACTATGGGCAACTTAGCGTGGCTAATCCACCTAGCCTGATGCAATAGACTACGCTTAGCTGAGCAAACAATTCCAGTGGTTTGTAATACTTCATAATTTTCTTTCAAAGACACTAGGCTGCATTCAAGTGTGAATACAGGACACTTACTTCTACCAGACAGGTCTTCCAGGACACACTTTACTGCTTGCATAATAGTTGCAAAAATACAGTTTACTTGCCTCTGACCAAACATCAATGTACTTTTGGTTTCAGCTTCATTGTAAGATGATGGAGAGCAGCAAATAACTATTGTAGTTCTGCAGTTGCCACCCAGTGAATCCTGTAAAATTCTGGTCATTTTGCTGTCACGGTATGGTACATACGTCTGAAAACAATTTTTAAAAGCATACATTATCGGAAAATTTAAGTAAATTTTCCACATTTATTAGCCTGTTCTTTAACTTACATTCATACAGCACTTAGCATTAAAAACATCCTGTAGGACTTCACAGGGTGAGAAGCAATAGTTAACAAGACACGTCAGTCTGAGACAACACAAGGTGACTCAGTTGAAGTGGTGCGGGTGCCGCGCATAGCACAACTTCAGGGGAGAGAGTTGAAAGGGAGTGGAATGAATAGTAGGAAGAAAAAGTGGCAGCACAGGGATGCAAAGCTGCACAAGGCAGGGCAAAGCTATACACGCATCTGTAGGTAAGGATTTTAAAATTTGATACACAGGTCATAGCCAGCAAGCAGCACACATTAGTATAAGCAGCATCAAACAAGTGGAATTTTGTGCAGTTCAGGCCACATATACACTGGTACAGAATATAAATTTTGGAAGGAAGATTATAAACAATGCATTTGCTTGGCAATTTCAATTTGTTCATAACTCAGGACAATGAATGGAGAGATTATTAAAAATTAAAAACATGTCACTAAAGACATCTTGCACCAAACAGTTTAATATGTTGTCAATTCTTAAATATTTTGCATATGCTAACATCCTCCTTCAACAAATGGCGAAACAGCTATAAAATTTCAGATTGGTGGGTTACTTCTATGATGCCTTTAAAAATCTTTAATTTGTTCAGACTTACCACAAACAGTTCAGGTTTAATACTTACACTCGATTCTGCCAGAGAAGCAATTACATTCCCCAGTGCTGATAAAGACCTGTTGATATTCTTAGCTTCATCCAGTACAGCCCCTTCTGCTCCAGTTTTACTGACCTTAATGGGTTTTTAACAAAAGAAACATACAATACGTTATAGCATTAGTCCAATTACCTTTTGTTTTTTGAAAGACTAGTTTCCTCTTCCTTTCATATTACTTCCTGCCACATGTTTTATTTTGCAGAAATACTCTTTTTCTGCATTATATGATTCTTACTGGGCACTGTCAGAGTAAATTACATTCATAGCCCCTTCCTCAAGCCAGACAAACAGATGCAAGTTAAACATACTTGACTTAATGTTTTTTTTTGGGGGGGGGGGGGGGGGGGTAACAACTTTTGCTTTTTTTCCCCCTGACCAAGACACCGCTGACACAGCAATCATTTATAACCCACCCTTAACTGCTGTGAGAAGTTCAATTAACCTTCCCAAGTGCTGCAGTTCAATGCGGTAATTTTTTTTCTATGGTATTATTATTTGATACAACCGAGTGGTTTACTTAGCCATTCATGGCAAAGGGTCCCTGTGGGACTGGATTCACAAACTGTCCTGACCAGTAAAGTTTTTCTCTAAAGGATACAGTGACACAGTTAGAGTTCTCAAAAGCAACCTGAAGGCTGTGTTTTTTTTTTGTTTAAGCTCAGTTTTTATTTTCTTGACTTTAGCTGAATTCTAATATTCAAACTGTCATGTTGGGGTTTAACCTTGAACTTAAATTTAGGCCAGAGTTCAGAAATATTGCAGTATCCATTTCACATAACATTCACATATCTACAATGAGAAACATGTTTAAAGCATGCCAGCAATTCCTTCTGAATGGCAATCATTACATCAATAAATCAAATTTCAAACAAGACAGACAAACAGCACTTTAATACATTTGTAGAACAGTGCCAAGAACTGTATAATGACGGAAACTCACTTCTGTCATAAGCTTTGGCAACAGAAAAGATCATCCTGCTGCCTAGTTCGGTATAATTTTTACTTAGGGCACAACAGTCAATGAATTAACTATCTTGTCACGTTATAATATATTGGTTGACACAAAAGTATGTGGATTAAATAAAAACCCCAAAGAACTGCAGATGCTGTAAATCAGCAACAAAAACAGAAGTTGCTGGAAAAGTTCAAGCAGGTCTGCCAGCATCCATAAAGAAAAATCAGAGTTAACATATTGGGTTCGGTGACCCTTTCTCATTACCAATCTCATTTCAGGCCACAGATATCTTGTCTCTTTCAAACACTCCCTTGTTTTTTAAGAAAAAATATATTCTTTAGATATGTGCATCACTGCAAACCAACATTTATTGTTTACATCAATCTACCCTTGATTGACAGTGGTGAGTGCTTTTCTTGAATGCAAGTGAGTGGCTAGCAAGGCCATTGAGAGAGCCATTAATAATCAATTGCATTTCTGGAGTCACATAAATGCTGACTTGAGTAAAGACTGAAGATTTTATTCACCAAAGAACATAATGAATATGTGCAAATCCAGATTCACAATTGAGATCAACTGAGATGTGAATAACAAATTTCATAACGTCCTTTTTCAATTCATCATTCAATTAATTGCCAAGTCTCATTTTCAAATTGAGACAAACATCTTTTATTTGACAGCTACTGCTTTGTTGCCATTCAGATGCTTGGGATTCTCAAAAGCATGTGGTCTTCAACAGGATTAGGCACTGATTATCTTTGTTGCTAAAGCTTATTTTGAAGTAACACTTTATTCTGTAAAACAAGAGCCGAAGTAGTCAAAAATGTTCTTAAAATAGCACTAAAAAGTGTTTAGATTTTTGACTAAAACTGTATTGTGCAACTCTCCTTCAATCTCCACAACAAGACGACTTGTCACATTTGGGGGTTACTTTCAGCAGAAGGATGCCAAGACTTTAAGAAAACAATTATGCTTAGATCAAGCATATTTTTCATTCAATTGATCTGGAAATCACAAACCTATTTCAAAAAGTGACTGCTGGATGAACACTTAAGATACAGCACTGTAACAGATCATTAAAACATACCTTTTCACTACCTGCCAAGTCAACCAGATAAAGTTTGCCACTTAGTTTCTGCTCTGTTGCAGTGTTTTCTTGTTTGACATTAATGAGGAAGATACTGTGGCTACGTGAACTGTGTTCATTCATATCTGAAACAGACAGAGACTATGATTAAAACTTTGCATTTTGTTCAGCCTCTAAACAAAACTGTGATAAGGTAGCTTAGTTTCTCTCTCAAATACAGTCAGAGATGTACAGCTCAGAAACAGACCCTTCGGTCCTACTCATCCATACCAAACAAATGCCCTAAATTAATCTAGTCCAATTTACCAGCATTTGGCCCATATCTCTCTAAACCCTTCCTATTCATGTACCTATCTAGATGACTTTTAAATATTGCAAATGTACCAGCCGCCTCCACCAATTCTTATGGCTGCTCATTCCACACATACCACCTGCTGCATGAAGAGGTTGCTCCTTAGGCTCCTTTTAAACCTTTCCCCTCTAGTTTTTGACTCCCCCCCCCCCCCCCCCCCCAGGGAAAAAGACCTGGCTATTCACCCTATCCATGCCTCTCATGATTTTATAAACCTCTAAGGTCACCCCTCAGCTTCAGATGCTCCAGGGAAAATAGCCCCAGCCTATATAGCTTCTCCTGAGAGCTCAAACCCTTCAACCTTGGCAACATCCTTTTAAATCTTTTCCGAACCCTTTCAAGTTTCACGTCTTTCCTACAACAGGGAGACCAGAATTGCACGCAGTATTCCAAACAGGGGCCTAACCAATGTCCTCCCAACTCCTATACTCAATACACTGACCAATAAAGGAGTGTGTACCAAATGCCTTCTTCCCTACTGTTTAGCTGCAACTCCACTTTCAATGACTACGAGCCTGCACCCTAACGTCTCTTTGCTCAGCAACATGTTCAGGACCTTAAAGTGTATAATTCCTGCCCTGATTTGCCCTAGCAAAATCCAGCACCTCACATTTATCCAAATTAAACTCCATTTGCCCATCTGATCAAGGTCCCGTTGCACTGAGGTAACCTTCCTTGTTGTCCACTATACCACTAATTATGGTGTCATCTGCAAACTTACTAACGATACCTCCTGTACATCCAAATCACTTCATCTTTTATTTTTCAGAGCAGTTGCAAACTCAGTGGCTGACCATTTAAAGTACAGGCAAAGATTGTTCTCCTTTTGGCACGTTGTCATGTGTTAAGTTTATTACCTTCAGATAATGCACGATACAAAAACCATTACAAAGTAGATTTGGGGGAAGAGTGTATCTTCTCTGCACAGCAAGATGCAATTTTGAACAGTGTAGAGCTTTTATTTACAAATCTGAGGCATTTTTATGCAGCCATAGAAGCATGCTGAAAACATCAGTCAGAAAAGAAGTGAACTAAATTTCCTGCAAGCATAAATAAAGAATTAGGTAGATTAGCAGTAAAGGTGAGACTATAGAATTTAAGTATATCCAGAATGTATTGAGATGGAGAGAATAAAAGAAAAACTGAAGTGTTTAATTGAGTGTCACAATTAAAATAGACAAACTATTTCCAGATGCACTGATCAGCCTTCAAAAGCCTGGAACTCTTTCACCTCTTTCAAAGTTCAGATTTAGTTATAATACAAGTGCAGACCCAAGAATTCTAATTCAATTCGTTACAACAGAAGAAAATTAGAAACAGGAGTAGGCCACACAATCCCTCAACACTGCCGTGCCAGGCAGTAAGATCACATCAACCTTCTAGCTCTTTGCAACTCTATCCCTGCGTCCTTCAATTTCCTGTGATCAAAAATCTCTTTATTTTACCCTCTAATACATTCAATAACTGAACATGCACCCAATTCCAAAGAATTCCAAACATTCAAACCCAAGTGAAGAAATTTCTCATCTCAGCCCTAAATTCCTTACCCAGAGATTAAAACCTACATTGGCAGAGAAAACGCCATCACCTGCAAGTTCCCCTCCAAGCCACTCACCATCCTGATCTGGAAATATAAATCACCAGTGTCACTGGGTCAAAATCCTGCAACTCCCTCTCTACTAGTGTTGGAGTGTACCTATACCAAATGGATTGCAGCAGTACAACAGGCAGCTCTCCACCATCTTCTCAAGGGCAACTGTGGATGAGCAATCAATGTTGGTCCAGCAAGCATCACACACATCTCATGAGTGAATAGAAAAAAAACAAGGTTTAAGATTCTTCTTTCAATCAGGGAAACAGACTTTTTGCGACCAACCTGTCAAACCCATACATCTGAGATAACAAGGTGTAGAGCTGGATGAACACAGCAGGCCAAGCAGAAGAGGAGCAGGAAAGCTGACGTTTTGGGTCTGGACCCTTCTTCAGAAAACCCATACATCTGCTGCCCTTATCCTTCTTAGTGGTTGAGGTTGTAGGTTTACAAAGTTTCCTCATGCACAAATCTCCGTGAGCAAGCAGAGTGATTAGGAAGGCAAATGGAATGTTGGTCTTAATTGCAAGGAAGAGAGACAGGCAACTCTTGCTACAACTGTTCAGATAACTGATGATATCATGCCTGGAGTACAGTGTACATCTCTAGTTTCCTAATTTAAGGAACTTTGCTGCATTGGACACAGTTCAGAGGTTCACCTCGTTCAGTCCTGGAATGAAGGGATTACCTTATGGGGAAAGATTGAGTAATTGGGACTGCAATCATTGGAATGTGGAAGAATGAGCTGTGATTTATTGAAACTTACAATATTCCTTTTACATTGTTCTTGACAAGAATTCAATTGCTTGTTTGCCCAGCTTCGCAAGGTCAGTAAAACTGGATACAACATGCTCAGTTCCTTAAACTGAACCATTCATATGGATTGTAAACGGAGGAACAAAAAGCTGATCTTTATGAAAACCTACCAGTTAACACTTGCCAACCCAAAACTGACCTGTTTATCCCTATTCTACTTCCTGCGTCTTAGACTATCCTTAGTCTAGGTTCAAGCAATCACCCTTAGAGTACAAATCTTGCCATAATCTAACAGTGTGAGGGCACCTTCTGTTTTGAAAGTCTAACCATGCTACATCCACTGGTCCCATTATCTACACAAAGGTTTGTTAAACCAAACCTATTTAGCAAACACACCCCTATAATTCAGGTATGTGGCCTGAAGTTAATTTTTTAAAAAATAAACTGCAACCATTGATCGATCTACCATGCAAAGGCACCGTATTTTAATGGCAATTTACTTTCCACACAGACTTATAACGGTATCTACACAAGACATGGCAGAAAAGTTGGTCCTAGCAATTAATTCAATTAAAAGCCTAGAGACCAATAAAAGATGTGCACTTCATTCTGTAAAGTCACGAAGTAGTATGAATTAACGTAGGAATTGAAAATATTCGAAGATGGGATTAGAAGATGGAAAAAGGGGTTTAGAACAGATAGATATTTGATGACAAGTGCAAACACAACAGGCCAAAGGGTTTCTTTGTGTTATAAAGTCTGACTCGATGGCAGCGCAGAGGAGGCCATTTGACTGATTGAGTTGTGCTGGTACTAGCTGCACATTGTGGTTATACATGAATGGTTCCCATCTCTCTTGTCTGTACCTCATACTATTTATCTAAGTATTCATCTCAAGTATTTTACTTGACATTTTCAACCATTACTTGTAGTAATATGCTTCATATACTGCTAATCTTCAAATTAAAACAAATTACTTCACCACTTCCTTAGATTTTTAGGGCTGATTTGATGCCCATCCTTTACAATGCACCAACCATGGAAATAATCCTGCCACCTCAAAATAAAAACCAGGAAAGTTAGCATTTTAAAAATTATCTAGAAATCTACAGCTTTAAAGGGTTGTTACTCAAGTCAAATATTCAACTTAATCGAAGGCTGACTACAATATAGAGGGAGGTAATCTCCTTTGAATATATTATTCTTAACATTGGTAGCTACCAATCAGCAATTTTAATAATTGATATTCAATAACAAATTAAAGATAGACTGGAGGGGAGAAAGGTTCTTACTATATCTTTCTAGATTTAATTGAGCTATGCAAGTCAATAAAAAACAAGGATACCCTCACCTTGATTATTCCCACAAGACCAACAGATGTCTGGACCAAAACTTATAAATATAGGATTTCACAAGACTTGCAAGTGTATTTTTAAAATTATTTCCCTAAATTAGTTCCATAAGCAGAGTTGAATCAAGTTTTTAAACAAGTTCAATCACAACATATTCTTTCAACACTACACAGGATCACATTTAGTCTAAAGTGAGTTGGCGTGCAACCAATGATATCTACACTTACTTGTAACTGCTACATGCCGGTTAGACTTTCCTTCATCAATTGTATCCATGACTTCTTCAGGACTGCAAACAAAACGTTCAGTGCAGCCCTATACCAGAAAGACAAAAACGAAGACCAAATTTGTAAGCAAAATAGTTTCAGTACATACGAACAAAGAACTGCAAAGGCTGAAAATCTGAAACAAAAACAAAATGCTGGAGAAATTCAGGTCTGGCAGCACCTGAAGAGAGAAAAGCAATTAACATCGAGTCCAGTGACCCTGTGTCAGTTTCTCCAGCACTTCCTATTTTTGTTTTGGTTTCATTCTTGGTATATTTTACTCACCTTCACATAAGGGACTCTATTTTTATCTTCATGGACTGAAAGATTGGTCTTGGACACTGCAAAGACAGAAACAATGTTTTATTTCATAATCCAATACTCCTTGCAATTCAGGTCTATGCACAAATACAATACTCAGCTGTATTATTGCAAACTGAGATTCCAATATTATTTTGTAATACTCAGCATTCCTTGCTTTGCTGAAATATCACCTTTACACCTAAAAGCAGGAGGAATTACGATGTAATGAGATAAGTTTGGACAGTGCATGAGATTAGAGCACACAAATATAAAATTAGCAAAACTGAAATCAAGACAAGATTACAATGATTTTTAAAAATGTAGAAACTTATGATAAATCTTTTCGCAATGTCCTTTTAATAAATTTGATCTCAAAAGATGCACAGTATAAGCTTTATTGTATAACCTCAAATAATCATAACTTCAATAAATTTTAATTTTAAATGTATTACTTATGCCCAAACTTCAAAGATACATTTAAAAACACCTGGAACATAGCTCCAATCAATGACTCACTCTTCAGGCTGCATTTAAAGAATGAAGACTACCACAGCAAAATGATGGATGAATATTTCAAGGTTCCTCATGGTAGGCTGGTTAGCAAGGTTAGATCACAACGAATAGAGGGAGAACTAGCTATGTGGATTCAGAACTGGCTTGAAGGTAGAAGACAGAGGGTGCTTGTGGAGGATTGCCTTCCACACAAGAGGCCCGTGACCAGCAGTGTGCCATAAGGATCGGTGCTGAGTCTACGGCTTTTCGTCATTTATATAAATGATTCGGACGTGAGCACGAAGTGTGGCTAGTAAGTTTGCAGGTGACACCAAAATTGGAAGGGTAGTGGCCAGTGAAGAAGGTGGCCTCAGAGTACAACAGGATCTTGATCAGATGGGCCAATGGGTGGCAGATGGAGTTTAATTTAGATAAATGTGAGGTGCTGCATTTTAGAAAGGCAAATCAGGGCAGGATTATACACTCTATGGTAAGTTCCGGGGGAGTGCTGCTGAACAAGGAGACCTTGGAGTGCAGATTCATAATTCCTTAAAAGTGGAGTTGCAGATAGATAGGATAGTGAAAGCAGCATTTGGTATGCTTGCCTTTATTAGTCAGTGTAGAGAGTATAGGGGTTGGGAGGTCATGCTGCGGTTGCATAGGACATTGGTTAGGTCACTATTGAAATACTGCATGCAATTCTTGTCTGGATGCTTTAAGAAGGATATTGTGAAACTTGAAAGGGTTCAGAAAAGATTTACGAGGATGTTGCTAGGGTTGGAGGGTCTGAGCGATAGGGAGATGCTCAATAGACTGGCGCTATTTTCCCTGGTGCATTGGAAGCTGTGGGTGACCTATAGAGGTTTGTAAATCATGAGGGGCATGGATACAGCTAATAGCCAAGGTCTTTTCGCCAGGGTGGGGGAGTCCAAAACTAGAGGGGATAGGTTTAAGGTGAGAGGGGCAAGATTTAAAAAAGGGGCCTAAGGAGCAACCTTTTCACACAGAAAGCGGTGCATGTATGGAATGAGCTGCCAGAGGAAGTGGTGAGGTTGGTACGATTACAACATTTAAAAGGCATCTGGATGAGTATATGATTAGGAAGGTTTAGAGGGATATGGACCAAATGCTGGCAAATGAGACTAGATTTATTTAGGATATCTGATCGACACAGACAAGTTGGACCCAAGGGTCCAACAGGAGATTCTGTGGTACTGAGCGAGACTCCCGGATGGTATGTTGTCTCCCGGGTGCCAGGGTCAGGGTTGTCTCGGATCGAGTCTTCAGGATTCTCAAGGGTGAGGGAGAGCAGCCAGAAGTCGTGGTACACATCGGTACCAATGACATAGCTAGGAAACAGGATGAGGACCTGAAAAGTGAATATAGGGAGTTAGGGTGGAAGCTGAAAGCCAGGGTGAGCAGAATAGTAATCTCAGCATTACTATCAGTGTCATGGGTTAGTGAGGCAAGAAACAGAGAGCGAGTGCAGCTGAACACGTGGCTACAAAGCTGGTGTAGGAGGGAGGGCTTCAGGTTTGTGAATCATTGGGATACCTTCTAGGGAAGGTGGGACCTGTACAGGAAGGACGGGTTGCACCTGAACTGGAGGGGCAGGTGGTTTGCTAGAGCTCTTCGGGAAGGTTCAAACTAGTTTGGCAGGAGGATAGGAATTGGAGCTACGGATCAGAGGATAGGGTACAGGCAGATAGAGCAAGCAGTGAATCTGTGAGGAAGGATAAGTAGTTGATAGGGCAAAGTGGCTGTCAGTGCGATGGGTTGAGGTGTGTCTTCTTCAATGCAAGAAGGTGTCAGGAACAAAAGATGATGAACTTAGGGCATGGATCAGTACTTGGAACTATGATTTTGTGGCCATGACAGAGACTTGGATAACACAGAGGCAGGAATGGTTGTTGGATGTTCCAGGGTATAGATGTTTCTAAAAATAGGGAGGGAGGTAAAAAGAGGTGGGGGGGGTGGCATTGCTAATCAGGGATGATATCACAGCTGCAGAAAGGGAGGTCGTGGAGGAGGGTTTGTCCACTGAATCAGTATTGGTAGAAGTCAGAAACAGGAAAGGAGCAGTCACTTTATTAGGTGTTTTCTATAGACCCCCCAGTAGCAACAGAGACACCGAGGAACAGATTGGGAGACAGATTTTGGAAAGATGCAGAAGTAATAGGGTTGTTGTCATGGGTGACTTCAACTTCCCTAATATAGACTGGAACCTCCTAAGAGCAAATAGTTTGGATGAAGCAGATTTTGTCAGGTGTTTCCAGGAAGGATATCTGACTCAATATGTAGATAGGCCGACTAGAGAGGAGGCCATATTGGATTTGGTGCTTGGCAACAAACCACGTCGGGTGTCAGATGTCAGATCTCTCGGTGGGAGAGCATTTCAGTGATAGCGACCACAACTCCCTGACCTTTACTACAGTCATGGAGAGGGATAGGAGCAGATGGTATGGGAAAGTATTTAATTGGGGGAGGGGGAATTACAATGCTATTAGGCAAGAACTACGGAGCACCAATTGGGATCAGATGTTCCCAGGGAAATGCGTGACAGAAATGAGGAGGTTGTTTAGGGAGCAGTTGCTACAAGTACTGGATAGGTTTGTCCCACTGAGGTAAGGAAAGGATGGTAAGGTGAAGGGACCTTGGATGACAAGACACGTGGAACACCTAGTCTGGAGGAAGAAGGAAGCAAGAATCGGACAGGACTCCAGATGCCTACGAGGTAGCAAGGAAGGAACTGAAGAATGGACTTAGGAGAGCTAGAAGCTATGAGGGAACCTTGGCAGGTAGGATCAAGGAAACCCCAAGGCATTCTGCGCTTGTGAGGAACAAAAGGGTGGCCAGAGTGAGGGTAGGGCCAGTCAGGGATAGTAGAGGGAACTTGTGCGTGGAGTCAGAGGAGGTCGGGTAGGTCCTTAATGAATACTTTGCTTCAGTATTCACCAGTGAGAGGGATCTTGACATTTGTGAGGACAGCCTGAAACAGGCAGATATGCTCAAACAGGTTGATGTTAGGAAGGAGGACGTGCTAGAAATTTTGAAAAACACGAGGATAGATAAGTCCCCTGGGCCAGACGGGATATACCCAAGGTTGCTACGGGAAGCGAGGGAAGAGATTGCTGCCCCTTTGGCAACGATCTTGGTGTTCTCACTGTCTACTGCAGTAGTACCAGAAGATTGGAGGGTGGCAAATGTCATTCTCTTGTTCAAGAAAGGGAATAGGGATAATCCTGGAAATTATAAACCGGTCAGTCTTACTTTGTGGTGGGCAAATTATTGGAGAGGAATCTGAAAGATAGTATTTATGATTATTTGGAAAAGCACAGTTTGATTAGAAATAGTCAGCATGGCTTTGAGAGGGGCAGGTCCTGCCTCACAAGCCTTGTTGAATTCTTGGAGGATGTGACAAAACACATCGATGAAGGCAGTGTATTGGATGTGGTGTATAGGGTAGACCAAGGAGAGCCAATGGATGTTATCTACCTGGACTTCAAGAAGGCCTTTGATAAGGTGCCACACAGGAGGCTGCTGAGTAAGATAAGGGCCCATGGTGATTGAGGCAAGGTGCTAGCATGGATGGATGATTGGCTGTCTGGCAGAAAGCAGAGAATGGGGATAAAGGGGTCTTCCTCAGGATAGTAGCCAGTAACAAATGGTGTTCCGCAAGGGTCAGTGTTGGGACCACAACTTTTCACTTTATACATTAATGATCTAGAAGGAGGAACTGTGGGCATTCTGGCTAAGTTTGCAGACAATACAAAGACAGGTGGAGGGACAGGTAGTATTGAGGTGGTGGGGAGGCTGCAGAAGGTTTTGGACAGGTTAGGAGAGTGGGCAAAAAGTGGCAGATGGAGTATAACGCGGGAAAGGGTGAGGTCATGCACTTTGGTAAGAATAAAAGCATGGACTACTTTCTAAATGGGGAGAAAATTCAGAAGTCTGATGTGCAAAGAGATTTGGGAGTTCTAGTCCAGGATTCTCTCAAGTTAAACTTACAGGTCGAGTCAGTAGTCAGGAAGGCAAATGCAACATTGGCATTTATTTTGAGAGGACTTGAATATAAAAGCAGGGATGTACTACTGAGGCTTTATAAGGCTCTGGTCAGGCCACATTTGGAGTATTGTGTGCAGTTTTGGGCCCCATATCTCAGGAAGGATATACTGGCCCCGGAGCGGAATCAGAGGAGGTTCACGAGAATGGTCCCAGAAATGAGAAGCTTAACATATGAGGAACATTTGATAACTCTGGGACTATACTCATTGCAGTTTAGAAGGACGAGGGGGGCATCTAAATGAAACTTACGGAATACTGAATGGCCTGGACAGAGTGGATGTTGGGAAAATGCTTCCATTGGTAGGAGAGTCTAGGACCTGAGGGCACAGCCTTAGAGTAAAGGGAAGACCTTTTGGAACGGAGATAAGGAGAAACTTCTTCAGCCAGAGTGGTGAATCTATGGAATTCACTGCCATTGAAGGCTGTGGGGGCCAGGTCATTGAGTACATTTAAGACTGAGATAGATAGGTTCTTGATTATC